AAGTCAGCGCGGATATGTTGGAGAAGCCGAGTGCGGACGTCCGCCGTGAGGCCGTGGTTGTGCACGTTCCAGTGGCGGAGCTCCGCGCCTGTCATGGTGGCCGACACCTTGAGCGCACGGCCTGGGACAGCGTCGAACTGGGAGTATGTGATGCGGTCTCCATTCGTCTGGGCAGGGAAGACAGTAGCCACCCCGCCCGCATCAAATTGAGCCCCGATCGGTGAGGATGCGAAGCAAACAAAATCTCGGGCAGTACGACCAAGCAGCTGCTGCATGGTCTCCAGGCCCGCGTGCGTCTCCTGCAATCCCAGAACGACTGGCCCCCGCCAGTGCGTCTGCAGGTAACGCAACTTCCCCTTGATGAGCCTCGGCAAGTAGCTGGCGAAGGCCCTGGTGTTCCATGATGCGAACTGGGCGATTCCGCCCGTCTCACCCCAGCAACGCGCCATCCTGCTAAATACAGCACCACTCCTGCGCCTCGGGGCGCAGCACGCGTGCCGCCTCCTCCGCCAGCGCGTCCTTGTCGAGGTTGAACTTCCTGATGCGCGCCCTGTTCCAGAGCACCTGGGGGCACGATGACGGTGACTCGATTTGCACCCGCAGCAGCTGAGTCCACTGCATGGACAGCGCCGCTGCGTCCTTTTCCACGAAGAGCTTGCGGGGGAGAAGACCTTCAATCCCTTGCTTGATCTTCTTGAGGGCCAGCTCATGACTGACTTGGCGACGGTTCCGATCCTTGCCCAGGTTGAGAAGGACCTGCGATCCAGTCGGTGTCGATGCATGTATCTCTCGCCATTGGCCCTGTCCCACACGCATGAGCTGCAGCAGTTTGTCGACCCGTCTGGCCGCCAGGGTGGCCGCGCCCTTGCAGCGGAGGAGGAAGCGCTGCGAGACCGCATCGCCCTCCAGCACGACGTGGTCGCTGAGCTGCGCCCCAGCCACCAGCGGGGCCAGAGCCTGCTCCACGGCCTGCTTGGAGAGCGCGATCTTGGCGAAGATCGCGACGACCGCGGGGTCAGGCGTTCTGTCCCGGTTGCCGCCTGAGGACGCCGCAGGGACGCCCGTATTGAGTACCACCAATTCTTCCTTGAGCTTCTGGATCTCCTTTTGCATGTGGTCGACCTGGCCCAGCTTCTCCTCCATTGGCACGATGCGGTCCTCCATTGCCTGGAAGCGGGAGTCGTTCCGCTGCGCCATCTCAAGGATCGCCGTCTGGAAGGCCTGCGACATGCTCGAGCTTGCTGATGCCACTGCCGCCTGCAGGGAGGCCTGACGGCGCGCCTCCATGCTTTGCAGGCTGGCCTCCACCGACGCAGGGGCGCCACCATGGGCGCGCACCACTCCCGAGGCCGTCGCGGTGGCGCCAGGCCGCGCGGGAGGGGCGCCCAGTTCGCCAGCGGGGCCGGCGCGGGGGGAGAGGTCATGGCGCTGGCTGCGGGCCCACTCACGGCCAACAGGGGGCAGCCCAGCACGGGCGGCCGCGGCAGCCCAGGCGTCGGGAGGAGCACCTTCTGCGCTGGCAGCGCGCGCGTGGTGTCGTCGCCAGTCCTCCAGGTCCTCGTCCAGGTCCACGGTGCCAGTGTGCCGCGCGGCCCCTCGCCCGCTGCGCGAGGTGGAGCGGCCATCCGAAGATCCGCCCTCATGCGGGTGACGGGGGGCCCTGCGCTGTCGGCCGCCAGCAGAACGAGAGCCATCAGCACCTGACGCGCCCCCTTTGCCGCTCCTCCCCGAGCCAGCCTGGCGTTCTTGCGAGAGGAACGTGGGGGCCGCCTCCAGCTCGTCAGCAAGTCGTTGGCTGTCAGCTGCAACTGTTTCTGCCTCTGCCGCAGAGTCCATTCGATGAACATGAGGATGAGGGCGATCGCATACAGCAGGCCCCATGGAGTCGTCCGAGACGTTCGCACGCACAGGAACGGGAAAGGCCTCCGTTTACCCGTGGGTGCAAGCGTCGGTGCGATGAAGAATTTCTGCCAGACCACAAAAGGGCTTGCCAGCCGCGGACTAGCGGCATCCACTTGTTCCTCTGGAGGACCGTGCATCTTGAGCCAAAATGGCTACGGAGGAGGAGGAGGAAGAGGAGGAGGAGGAGGAGTGGTCGTAGCGGTAATAATAAAATTAGCCTGGCGAAAGACCCAACCATATGCAGTTGTGAGAACCGCAATTGTGACAATCTTCTTCGGTGACGCCCCCCATGGAGCCGCGACGCGATGTACTGGGTGGGCGAAGCGCAGGGGGCAATTGCCTTGTTAGGTGGTGGCAGACGCATGCGGGCGGCGCCACTGGGACCTTCCGTGGAGCCCCCTTTATGGGGCCACGAAACGTTGTACTGGGTGAGTGAAACACAAGGAACAAAGGCCGTGTTGGGTGGTGGCGGACGCATGCTGGCGTTGCCACTGGGTCCTTCCGTGGAGCTCCCTATGGGGCCACGAAGCGTTGTACTGGGTGGGTGAAACGCAGGGAGCAGATGCTGTCCTGGGTGGTGGCGGGCGCATGCGGGCGGTCCCACTGGGACCGTCGGCGGAGCCCCCCATATGGGGACCCCTGTACTGGGTGGGCGAACGCATGCGGGCGGTGCCACTGGGACCTTCGGTGGGGCCCCCTATGGGGCCACGAATCGCTGTACTAGGTGGGCGAAGCGAAGGGAGCAATTGCTGTACTGGGTGGTGGCGGGCGCATGCAGGCGGTGCCACTGGGACCTTCGGAGGAGCTCCCTATGGGGCCACGAAGCACTGTACTGGGTGGGCGAAACGCAGGGAGCCGGGGCTGTGCTGGATGGTGGCGGACGCATGCGGGCGGTGCCACTGGGGCCTTCCGTGGAGCCCCCTACAGGGACACGAAACCTTATACTGGGTAAGTGAAGCGCAGGGGGCAAACGCCGTGTTGGGTGCTGGCGGACGCATGCGGACGTTGCCACTGGGACCTTCCGTGGAAAGCCCCGTGGGGCCACGGAGCGTTGTACTGGGTGGGTGGGACGCAGGGAGCAAGGGCTGTGCTGGGTGGTGGGGGGCGCATGCGGGCGGTGCCACTGGGACCTTCGGTGGAGCTCCCTATGGGACCACGAAGCGTTGTACTGGGAGGGCGAAGCGCAGGAAGCAAGGGCTGTGCTGGGTGGTGGCGGACGCATGCGGGGCGGTGCCACTAGAACCTTCGGTGAAGCCCCCTTATGGGGCCACGAAACGCTGTGTTGGGTAGGTGAAACGCATGGAAGACGGTAGAGGGAGGGGGGGACGGGGAGGAGGGGGAGGAGGAGGAGGAGAGGAATAACGCGGGGACCGTCTCTGCAAAACGAAGACCCAACACTACAGGACGGTTGGGGAGAACATTAGCGGTAGTAGTAGTAGTAGTACTAGTAGTAGTAGTAGTAGTAGTAGTAGTAGTAGTAGTAGTAGTAGTAGTAGTAGTAGTAGTAGTAGTAGTAGTGGTAGTAGTAATAGTAGTAGTAGTAGTAGTAGTAGTAGTAGTAAGTAGTAGTAGTAGTAAGTAGTAGTCGTAGTAGTAGTAGTAGTAGAGTAGTAGTAGTAGTAGTAGTAGTAGTAGTAGTAGTGTAGTAGTAGTAGTAGTAGTAGTAGTAGTAGTAGTAGTAGTAGTAGTAGTAGTAGTAGTAGTCGTATAGTAGTAGTAGTCGTAGTCGTAGTAGTAGTAGTAGTAGTAGTAGTAGTAGTAGTAGTAGTAGTAGTAGTAGTAATAGTAGTAGTAGGAGTAGTAGTAATAGAAGTAGTAGTCGTAGTAGTAGTCGTAGTAGTCGTCGTCGTCGTCGTAGTAGTAGTAGTAGTAGTAGTAGTAGTAGTAGTAGTAGTAGTAGTAGTAGTAGTAGTAGTAGTAGCGGTAGTAGTAAAAGTAATAAAAATAGCAATAGTCGTAGCAGTAGTAGTAATAGAAGCAGTAGTGGGAGGAGGCGAAGGGATTAGGAGAAAAAGTAATTGTAGCAGTAGTCGGAATAGTAACAATAATGGTAGTAGTAGTAGTAGTAGTAGTAGTAGTAGTAGTAGTAGTAGTAGTAGTAGTAGTAGTAGTAGTAGTAACAGAAGAGTAGTACTCGTACTAGTACTAGTACTAGTACTAGTACTAGTACTAGTACTAGTACTAGTAGTACTAGTAGAAGTAGTAGTAGAAGTAGAAGTAGTAGTGGTAGTAGTAGCAGTAGTAGTAGTAGTCGTAGTAGTAGTAGTAGTAGTAGTAGTAGTAGTAGTAGTAGTCGTCGTCGTAGTCGTTGGTCGGAGTAGTAGTAATAGTAGTAGTAGTAGTAGTCGTCGTAGTAGTCGTTGGAGTGCCCCCCTACCGGGAAATCGGTTTCGGTTTTGTGTTCGTGCGTGCCGTGCGTGCGGGCTAGGCGAAGGTGCGTGGGCGGGCGAAGAATAAGTCTCCTGTAGCTGAGGCGCGGCCGGACCAAAAGTTTCCTTTCCGGCAACCGGTGCCCCGCGGTGTCCCGCCGGTGTCCCGCTCGGAGGCCCGTGGCGCGCGGTGTCCCGCCGGTGTCCCGCCGGTGTCCCGTCGGTGTCCCGATGGGGATGATGATGATGATGACGTTGATGATGTTGGCAATGATGAGGATGGTGATGGTGATGATGATGGTGTCCTGGTGATGATGGTGATGATGATGCTGATGATGTTGGCGATGTTCATAATAATGCTGATGGTGGTGAAGATTATGGTGCCCCGATGTTTTTTTTATTACTCACCTCCGCCGGGGTTCTGTCTGATTGGGACCATGAGGAAAATCTTGCATAGAACCGAAAATGCAATGTGAAATCCAAATTCCGACCTTTCGCAACGAACTCATGCACCAATGCACAATTCATCCACATGGTCAACGGAAGACTCAGGCCGCTTGGCCAGCTCAGCATCAAGGGAGCCGAACCTGTAGCCGAGAGGATGTCGCTCGACAGCCACGCGAAGACTACCAGCGAATCGTCCGAAGCCATATCCAAGCACCTTGAACCTGTCTTGCACTGCGAGGAATGACGATGTCCCAGCAGAGCGCAGAGTCACCATGCCTTCAACTACGACGCAGCATCCCACTGGGAACCGCACCTCCAACGGTACCACACGATCTGCGCGACCAGGTACAGGAAGAGGAGCGGCACGACCCGATTCCCTACGAAGATCGCAACCAACAGGCTCGGGAAGCAGGACTGGACGACCTGGCAGGTCATCTCCACGCCGGTCGGCGCCAGCATCTCCAGGAAGGTCGACTTCACGAGGATGATCAGCGTGATCGGCAGGACGACCACAGTCATGAGCATCTGCAGGGACAGCTCCAGCTCCACCACGAATGTCTTCTCCACGACGTTTGGCATCAGCATCTCCAGGAAGGACGTCTTCACGATGAGCATCGACAGGACGACCGCAGTCATGAGAATCTGCAGGGACAACACCAGCACCATCACGAAGGACTTCTCCACGACGTTCGGCGTCAGCGCCTCCAGGAAGGACGTTTTCACGAAAATCATCGACACGACCCCCAGGAAGCCCAGGAACAGCGTCACCGTCCGCACCTGGCTCCTTCACGAAACCAAGGACCTCCTTGCTGAAGTCTGTGACCAAACGAACTACACGAGGAAGATCTTCGGGGCCCAGTCCGTCAGGAACGGCAGGACGGCAACAGTCATGAGCATCTGCATGGACATCTCCAGCTCCACCGCGAAGGTCTTCTCCACGACGTTCGGCATCAGCGTCTCCAGGAGGGACGGCTTCACGAATATCATCGACAGGACGACCACAGACATGAGCATCTGCAGGGGCACCACCAGCATCAT